ATTAAGTTGTGGACTAAACATCAATAGTCTTACGATAATAACTGTACAGAGGAGAAAAGTAATTCTTTCTGACCAGTCTGATCAGATTTCTCTTTCAAATTTGCTATCCGATATTTAAAATAGTTACAGTGATATGGTACATAATCAAAATATCGCCATCTTGAAATTTCATGATACTAATTTGACATTTCAAGATACTAGCTTCAAATTTCGAGATACATCAATTGAAATTTCAAGATACTAACTTGACATAGTATCTTTAATTTCAAGAAAAATATTAAAAAAACAAATGGCCCTGAAAGGCTTCCGCAGTAGCCACTTTACTGATCTCACCATTTTGCGCAAGCTGTCGCACTGTATAAAATATGAGTTGCACGATGTTAAAGCTGGTTATTATTTTGATTTTGAGCATTCAGTGTTTAACATCATAATTTAAAGTTGAAAAGGGACAACATGGTCTCGTGTCTTCAAGAGGGCTCAGGGTAGTTGAACAGGCACGTAAAACATTAACAGTGGTTGTCACCGTGTTCAGTAGGCTTCCTATTGATAGACGTATTTAGTTACAAATGGGGCGGTCGGGTAGCCTAGTGGTTAAAGCGTTCGCTCGTCACGCTGAAGACCCGGGTTCGTTTCCCGACATGGGTACAATGTGTGAAGCCCATTTCTGGTGTCCCCCGCCGTGATATTGCTGGAATATTGCTAAAAGCGGCGTAAAACCATACTCACTCACTCACTCACTCACTCACTCACTCACTCACTCACTCACAAATAGATATTATAAGTTGTAGCAGGATCACGAGGGGTACATGGGGCTTTATGCGTCCCGTGTTAGGTTTTATACTACAAGTCGGAGGCGACTGTTGAGTATATTCTAAGATGCAAGACATATGTAAATTCCAAAATTATTCCTGAGGGATCCTTTGCCTTAAGATACTTGAAGTCAATCGCGCAGTCTGATTGGTTTGTCGTATTTCGCACCTAACATTCATCGACAGGGAGATGAGTCTTCTTGCAGGTTACGGAGGCGAATGGTGACGAATGCCGCCAAGGCGGGTTGTACAGTATTTTATCAAGATCACGTGGGCCAATCAGATCTCATCATTCTGACATGCAGGTGTGATAACACATCTTGATCTGACGTCTTATGATCAACATATATAGCTTAGAGTAAATATCTCTTTGTTGATCGGGCGATTAAACAGACAATTAGGTTAAATAAACGACTTGTTGAATGCCATAGCACTGCTGTCTTAATAAATATTGAAGTCCAAGCGCAAATAAACTCTTTTCATCAAAGAAATTCCATTACAAGATATGTAAGTATTTCTTCACTATAATAGAATTGTGATCGAAGCCCCTCTCATGTGTTTATTTCCTAAACGTGTCTAGAACATCACCTGAAACTTTTGTTCCGATTTAAACACACACACAAATTTCAAATTTATGTTGATACTGACAGCATCCCATTATAAGAGACGGAAATATATATGTTCAAATTAAACATATGAAACGTTAGCTGTACATTCAGATAAATTGCTTCCCGATCAAATTCTCTTTTACCTGCTGTTGTATGTAATGTGTCCCCCTTTGGTATATAGGGTCGATTGACATCAACTACATCAAATCGTGTACCATGTGCACGCCATCTGTGGTAATCTTAAAAATATTACCATGATATGATATAATACGGTCGAAGTAGCATGCATGACATAAACCTGAATTTGTGTATAAACGCGTCCATGGACATAACTGTCAAGTACTAGCAAGATCCCTTGCAAAAAATGTCTTGCAGTATGTCACAACCCCCTCCTGTGTATATGTCAGTGGCTGCTATATGTGTCTATTTCATGAGAGGTTGTTTGTTTGTTTGTTGTTTAACGCCGCACTCAGCAATATTCCAGCTATATGACGGCGGTCTGTAAATAATCGATTGAGATCATGAGCAGTGATTGACATCGTGAGCATCGATCCACGCAATTGGGATACGATGACATCTATCAGCCGAGCCTGACCACCCGATCCCATTAGTCGTCTCTTACGACAAGTATAGTCGCTTCTTACGGTATGTATAGGTTGCTGAAGACCTATTCTAACCCGGATGTTCACGGGTCATTTCATGTGAGAAATGGTGCCACGAGTAGCCCAGTAGTATAAGGTGCCGCAATTCGCCATGTAGAGATAAGTCCCTTAGCAGTGCCGGGATTCTGTGACATCTGGTTCGAATTCAAGATTCACAATTCTAATAGGAGGCTCTCAGATACCATTCTGTACATCTATCAATGACTTCCCAATGAACATCCCCGTTAGAACTCATCTTCAGCAACACATGCCTTGTCGTAAGGGGCGACTGACGGGATCGGGTGGTCAGGCTCGCTGACTTTGATCATGCACCATAATGCATCGTATCCCCAGATCGATACTCATGATGTCAATCACTGGATAGTCTAGATAAGACCATCCAGTGATCGACACCATGAGCATCGATCCAATTGGAATGCGATTACATGCATCAAAATGGTCAGCGAGCCTGACCACCCGATCCCGTTAGTCACCTCTTACGACAAGCATAGTCGCCTCTTCCGGCAAGCATAGTCGCCATTGACGGCAAGCATAGTCGCCATTGACGGTAAGCACGGGTTGCTGAAGATTTGTTCTACCCTTGATCTTCACGGGTCACCCACCCTGACAGACATCCAACAGGTTCCTCTTCACTTTTGGTCCATTTTATCGTATGCTTCATCATTATTGTGTACATATTAAAATAGAAAATGCAGCAAAGAGGGTTTGGGTGATCCTGGCACAGTCAGGCCGGTTAGGCTCATCATCAGCTCATGGCCCTTGCCCTTGCCCCCTTGCCCCCTCCACAACGCAACCCAGGTAGCGAATGGAACTTCTCCCAGGAAGCGCTGCCTTGTCAAACACACCCAGAACATTTCGGAGAATGTGAAGACTCCCCAACACTGCAGCCTTTTGCATTACCCAGAAGGGCGGTATTCCTGGCAACAAACCCGGGTACTCTCCCAGTGCCAGTCAACAGGTTGGGAGGTGCCAAACCTAAGGCATCGAGAACAATGGGGAGTCGGACAACCTGGTACTTGGAAAGCAAGCGTTACATTTCGAAAGCGAGGTCCGCATATTTGCCATGTTTTTCCTGAATCTTGTCAATCACATTAGTGTCAAAAGGGACAGAACATTCAATGATATAAATGATTTCATTGGATTGGTCAAAAAGGACAAGATCGGGTTTGTTGGCCTGGATAGGTCTGAGGCTTTATATGGGCCTATTCCAAAGAATTTTGTATTTATCATTTTCCATGACGCTCTTACACATTCCGGGTCGTACCACTCACTCACTCATCACGTTGAGTTAATATAACGCCAACATAGGGCCTCTTGCTCTGATGCCGTTAGCTCGTTAACGGCTGTGTGAAGTCTGTGCAGATGTGGGACGTAACTAACGAACTTGTGTTGCGGCGTACGTTGCAGTGTGTCCTGTTTCGAAGGTGAAGGACGCAGTTGTGAGGTGAAATGAGGTCTCACGTCGCGTTCAGGATTGTTGCACTTATAGCTGCGTGGTTGCGTGGTTGCGCCCGTGCATGCGTGCGTGTGTGTGTGTGCGTGTGTGTGTGTGTGTGTGTGTGTGTGTGTGTGTGTGTGTGTGTGTGTGTGTGTGTGTGTGCTGCTTGTACTAGTCCGGACTAATACCGAGTTTATAGTCGTAGCCCACTGAGATACCATGCCGCAGTTTAATATAATTATTAATAAATTTAATAATACCCCACTCAGACACAGTATACGGACTCTGAGCCGACCAAGGTATATTGTTCTGACACGGCCTGGGATCGAATGTAATAAAAACTGCGGTAAAATGTAATAACTGCACAGTTTTGATTACATTGTATCGCAGTTTATTACAGTTTACCGCGTTATTGCAATTGACCTCGTAACAAACCTGTAACACGTTCCATGATTTGTAGGTTCCATTGCTTTATAGTTGCCCAAAGAAAAGAATAATGCAAATTTCAAAGGTCATCGATATCAACTCTGTCAAAGACAATATACCTGTTGTGTGACACTTTCTTGGAACACGTAGGCTTTATTTTCTTGTAGTTTTGCAACATGGATACTAATATTTTTAAAGACTGAAGGTATAGACACAGTTGTCATTCGTTAAAAGAGTAAGACATTACAACAGCAGGATGTATGACATTGTGTTGGATACGTATTGCTTGGTTCGTATAGTCGTAACATACAAGCAATACCCTAATACAACAATGAAGAGCGTCATCTAATATATTGTCACAGGGAAGTTCAAATACAAGGTCATTGGTAACTTTGCTGAGTGCGGCGTTAAACAAAAAAACAAACAACTCCACACGTCGATATCAGCCAAGATTTTCAGCGATCCGGTCAGTGTTGGCCACCTCTGAGGTACGTCTTCACACACAACTACTTGATAAGTTGTAAAAAATTATGAAATAAAAACAACTATTTTCCCAAGCTTTAGGATTCCCTATCTGTATAAGGGTAACACAATTTCCACTCATTACAAAAAAGAATTCTTATAACTGATTCTCTTCAGTTGGTTTTGTTTGTTACTTAACGCCGCACTCATCAATATTCCAACTGTACGACGGCGGTCTGTAAATATCTTGATAAGTCAATTCAGTGATTAACAAAATGAGAACATATTTAGGCAACTGGGATACGATGACATGCATCAACCAAGTCAGCGAGCCTGACCGCAGGATCCCGTTAGTCCCCTCTTTCGACAAGCATGGGTTGTGAAGACCAATTGTAACCCGGATGTTCACGGGGTACAAACATGGGTTGTGAAGACCAATTGTAACCCGGATGTTCACGGGGTACAAGTATGGGTTGTGAAGACCAATTGTAACCCGGATGTTCACGGGGTACAAGTATGGGTTGTGAAGACCAATTGTAACCCGGATGTTCACGGAGTACAAACATGGGTTGTGAAGACTAATTGTAACCCGGATGTTCACGGGGTACAAACATGGGTTGTGAAGACTAATTGTAACCCGGATGTTCACGGGGTACAAGTATGGGTTGCTGAAGACCAATTGTAACCCGGAGGTTCACGGGTCTTCTCTTCAGGATGACAGCTGAAGATGTTCTCTTTGTTATATTATTGTCATGTATTCTCCATCCTCGATTATCCAGTGTATTGTCTCTGAGTGGTGTCATGATTGTTACCACAGCTCCACTTTAGTTCGATTGAAATAACTAAATAACGGGCGACATAAGAACCCCCAGGAAACGAAAATCACTGTACCCTCTTGGTGCCACTTTGTGGTAGACACAGAGGCAAATATACCAATTTTAGTTATATCCACACAAATGACATCCTTTCATTAGGGTACTGTTTTTAACATCAGTGAAGGTTACAGAGCCGTCAGCCGAGTATATGGAACGTCTCCTTGCACAATCAATCCAACCACACGCATAGTTCTTTGGCCGCATGTGATTGGCGTTTACCAAATTATGATTACACCAAGTATTGGCACTTTTAGCTGATTCAAAAATACCTTCTTTTGTCGTCATATGAATTGCAGTCACGGTCTTCGTGACGTCATAAAGTGTCACGTTATTCGCTCGCGCATATGCCACAATCCACATTCCGAATCCTACTCGTCCAATGACAATCTCTGGTACGCGATCCCACGGAAACAGGTGATTCGTGAAGAAGAAGTCAGAAGAACCCTCTCCGGGGTAGCGCCCACGTGATGCGTGACCTTTCACCTGACTGACGTCAGTGACAGTGACGTTGTCCTTCATGTCCACGTTCGTCCTCTTACCCAACACCATCACAGGCCGTGACCTCAACACATCACTCTCCTGTTTAACAAGTGCCTGCATTGTGGTAATCAGGCCATCGTCAAAAACCAGATCACCGTTTGCAAACCCAAATAGGTCTGCGGTTCCTTTATACTGTGCGATAATGTCATTGAACATGCCTCTCAGAGTGGGCATGCTGGTATTGCCACACCCTGTCTCCCCCACCCCCCTCACCTGCCACCCGGTCTTCTCAGCGTTCAGCCTTGCATCCGGGTCGTCCGTCAGCAACACTGGTTTGATGTGCGTCAGCCAGGTGCGCCATGTTCCAAGCACACTACGCTGCACGTGCTCTTTCCCCTTTTTGTTAATCCACGTGGAGAAAAGCACGAGCAAGACATGCTCCGAGGTACCTGAGATTGTCCGGACTTTGTCCTGCTCTCCGGACTGTGGACTTCCGTCTCGGTGTTCTTTCTTATGTGTGTCGACCAGCACTATGGTATTTTGTTTCATGGGCTTATTTCTGCTTGAAGCAATGTACAGAACAGTTGTTATCACACATGCCAACCACAACATTGCGACAAGCTTTGACCTGGTGATGTATCCAAGCATACTTGCTTTCCTGACTGACTGGACTAAAGAGACGTCTGTTGAAGGTATCCTGCTGGGCTATGATATCCAGGCAACCAGCTGAAACAGTAGGAACGGATTGTGTAAGACTAACTTTGACTTTCATAATGACTGACGGTACAAGGTCACCTAGCCACCTCGGCATTGTATTGTTGTGAACCAGACAGATATTGTATAGGAAATGACAACTGCAGATGAATTCATGAGTTAGTGAGTGAGTTGGGTTTTACGCCCTTTAAGCATTATTTCAGCAATGGGCAAAACATTCCAGCATTTTAACGAGCTGGGGATAAACAACTGTAGAGCCATGTTGTTCTGTGCTAAAAGTTACAGACCGCCGTCGTATAGCGGGGATATTGATGATTGCGGTGTTAAACAACAAACAAAGCAACACGTCGGTCGCCATGTCTGTGTGCCATTACATCTGTATTTATCATAACGTAACATCTAACCAATAGTGTTATAGGTCATTGTAAATTCCATATGGCATACATCCTCGGTTATCCAGTGTACTATAGGCTTGCCGTGTTCTATCGTGATAAATCGTGTGGCTGAAAGGTATTATTAACGTTATCGTGTGTATAAAATATATGCGAGGGTCGGCGCCAGGCAATAAATACTTATTTTTATTAAATTGTGTGAATGACAGTTTAAATGGGTAGGACAGAACAGTTTTTCCCTTTTCGCGAAGACCTGGTGTCATCGATGATTTTCAGTGGTCCATTCCTATAGTTTTCACAGCTATTTTGCCCTCATGGAATCTGTTTCGGGGGATAATCAAGACTTGTATTGGCGTTTTACATTTACTATTGACATATTCAGGTCAAAACGAAGAGAAAGAGAATATTGCACAAAAGATGCCATACTTTTAATTCCCATGTATTTGCATTCACAGAAAACGTAGAAAATCCAATGGTTGGATGTAAACTGCCGGGCAAACACCCGTCACAAATACAGCACCATCGAATCACCATTTCTTGATTGGTTCAGTTTTAGTATACATGGGTGTATACTTTCTTTTGACCTGCAGTTTATGTGATAGTCAAATACCATCACAGCGACAAACATAAGTGTACGCCATACCGTGTATGTGTCGTTCTACTTCGGAACCGACCATTTGAATTGGTATCCTGGGGGCTGGGGTTTTAGCGAAAAAAACACACCCCAAATTGTCCCCAACAATTCTTGAAAAACATAAGCTTTAAATTGATGAACAAAAACATAGCCTACCACGAAAAATACATTGTCGCAACGTGTTTTTCTTTTTAAAACTTCAGGCTCATAACTTGAATAAAAATATACCTGGTTTTGAAGCTGTCGCTGAAATAATGTATCGCCCCTATTCGCAACGGTCTTTCTGCAGCACATCATAGCGTGACACTATACAATCAATACATGACACGTCATATATATTCGTCCATCACATTGTATTTCAATGACAGCAAAACGACTATATTAGCCTATATGGGCTTGTTATTAAACGTACATACAGAACAGTCTGTCAGGTAAATATAGAAAGTTAACTTACATTTCTTGGTCAGGGAAAATAGACATGAATATGTGTCTAATCTTACTTGCTCATCAACAGCACTGTGTGCGTGTTACCCCGTTTGAAGATATTCTACTATCACAAAGATCTCCCCGGGACGATAGTTTTCACGTGAACTCAACGCCTAGGTTAGAATGAGCCCTAGATCTCCATCTAACGCCATTGCCATAGGTAGAGATGTTCTACCACATGCGAGAAGAGGTCCGGGGTTAATATGTGTCCTGCGGGTGTCACGGTATAAACTCTCCCCCGTACAAATTCTCCCCCCGGAGATTTTATACCGGTACAGATTCTCCCCCGGAGAATCTGTTCTGAAATAAAATCTCCCCCGGGCGGATATATATGTATGTGTCGTTCTACTTGGGGACCGACAATTTGGTATCCGCGGGGCTGCGGTTTTATCGAGAGAAAAACTAAATTGTCCCAAACAATTCTTGAAAAACATAATTAAGCTTCAGACTGCTGAATAAAAACATTGCCTGCCACAAAAAGTACACTGTCGCAAAGTGTTTTTCTTTTAAAAACTTCAGGCTCCTAACTTATAAAAAAACCTAATAAAAATATACCTGGTTTGGAAGCTGTCGCTGGAGTAATACATAATCTAGATACAAAATCCATCCCCCACCCCGCAAACTAACTGCATGTCAATATCATCAATTCAATAAAGCTAATCAATACACTGAAACAACATTAGTAAAACAAAATATGCAATATGGTACTTACATGACATTAGACAGGGGCCTCGTTCAAGGAATGTATCCACTAATTCATTGTAAAACGTGTACAGTATCACATCCATTAGTGAACGGACTACCGGGCAATAGAAAGTGAGTGAGTGAGTGAGTTGGGTTTAACACCGCTTTTAACAGTATTCCAGTTATATCGCGGCGTGTCAGCTTAATGTGGGAGGAAAGCCCGAAGTGATGCAGGCCTCAGACGTTTATCACTTCGGTGAAACCCACGAGCACGGGTATGGTGCTGACAAACCTAGAAACATAATCGGGGCGAACCGGGATTCGAACCCACAATCATAAGTTACTGGTGTGTCCACGGGACGCAACTCTGCACAGCGAATCGCGGCGCCTAAGACTACTGGGCCACCCGTGCCCCCCAATAGAAAGTATCTACATGATCTAACCATGATTGGTGGTGGCTTAAAATGAAACAAATAGGAGTAGTGAGTAATCACAGCACTAGGAAACACATGATACAATCACTGTCCAGTGAGGGCGTTCCAGCCCACCAAATAATGCAAGTGTCTGGGCACAAGGATATACATTGATTTTCTATACTGGTATATTCAGTATTTTGTCCAATACCAGTGCACGCAGTGACCCCGTCAAACCACTTTCGGATTCCACTAGGCCTATGTCAATCAGTGGCATCCCAACCGTTGAACGAACTTCCAATTGGCATGTTGTTCCTGTATCCGACTCGTCATCATCATCATCATCATCATCATCATCATCATCATCATCATCATCATCATCACCACCACCATCATCATCATCATCATCATCATCATCATCACCATCATCATCATCATCATCATCATCACCATCATCATCACCATCATCATCATCATCATCATCATCACCACCATAATCATCATCACCATCATCATCATCATCATCATCATCATCATCATCATCACCATCATCATCACCATAATCATCATCACCATCATCATCATCATCATCATCATCATCATCATCATCATCACCATCATCATCACCATCATCATCATCATCATCACCATCATCATCATCCATTTGTATTGTGCTTTTCCATGCTGGATAATAAAGCCCAAACCACACCATTATTACCCCGGTATGTGGATCAGTGTGCACTCAGTACAACAGTGTACAACCCAAGCTGCCTGTCAGGAATTGCTGTTATTGACCTTGTCACTTCTTTAGTAAACACGTCCCATATTAAATTCTGGAAACATAAATATATTTCTTTCAAGTCTCATGACACAAAATTTAACTCATTTTAACGTAATTCAACGATTTTATAGCTATATTGAAATATTTCGCCTATGGGCGAGAAAAAGGTTTAGCTCATGGGCGAGAATATTTTCCTTTGTTCAAAACTCATGTTTTTGTTTCGCAACTGCATACAGGTGTTCTTACAAGTTTCATGACACATAAGGTAACTCATTTTAACTTAATTCAACTATTTTATAGTTTATATGACATTTCAGGTCATTACCATCATCTAATACACAAGAGATGATACCAAGACATATTTTGTTTGATTTTATGGTCTATGCGGTCTTAAATTGATTTTATTAGTCTTTAAATGTTATGTCTAGTGCATATTTTCACAAACAGGGAAGTTAGCTGATATAAGGAATGTAACATCCAGTTGATGACTGTATACGACATACGTTAGTCTGTTAACGAACTTTTTACAATTAATATTTTGAATAAGCCGTTAGTACGCCAGTTGTGACAGGGATGATGGTATGGTAGCTGTAGCAGACAGATTGACAGCCGTTGTTACCTGCGTCACAAGGTTATTAGTACGGCATTGGCCTTGTTGATTGTTACTATACTTTGAGGATTTCTGTGGCCAGTGGCGGACGTAATTCAAACTCCTTCCACACTGACACCGCATTAAAGATATTTGTGTACCGATTACATAACTCTTACTGACAGGGTGGGGTGGTAGTTCACGCGAAACGGACAACACTGTGTAAATTGGGCGGCACCTTACTTTTAATAAATGACCCATTAAACGATGATCGACACTAAAACACGAGTTTTGGAAAAAGGAAAATATTCTCGCCCATGGGCCAAATATTTCAATAGCGCTATAAAATAGTTGAATTAAGTTAAAATGAGTTACAGAGACTTGTAAGAACACTTGTATGTATTTGCGAAACAAAACACGAGTTTTGAGCAAAGGAAAATATTCTCGCCCATGGGCGACATAGTGTAAATATTGAGTTTTGGAACATTCTTCCTTAGTATGTTCCCATGAAAACAGCATGTTAAATTTTGTAAATACCTTTGACCGAGACTGGACAAAGGCCGTAGAGTTTCTGGACTGTTGGGTTTCCAGAATTTAATATGGGACGTGTTAGTATTAAAAGTAACGGGTTAGGCTTGGACAAATCGTCAAGCCCAGTAAAGGCTTTGTTTGTCTGCTAACTCACGCGCTTATGATGCATACCACTCTAATGGTTAGAACTAGAGACAATGTTTAGAACTAGATTTAAAACAGACAACAGACCGTGAAGCATTGTCCCCTTTAAAAAGCAGTCAGGGCCGGTTCATAAAATGTGCAGCGCGATTAGAGGTGAGGTGAGGTGAGGTGAGGTGAGGTGAGGTGAAGTAAGTGTGTGTGTGTGTGTGCGTGCGTGCGTGCGTGCGTGCGTGCGTACGTGCGTGTGTGCGTGTGTGTGTGTGTGTCTGTCTGTCTGTCTATCTGTCTATCTGTCTGCTTGTACTTGTCCGGAATTATGCCGATTTATAGTGCTAGCACTCTGACTACACTACTGACTCCGACCCACCTTGTTTTAGCCCCTTAATGCCGAGCGCTAGTCAGGGTAACAACAGGTACCGTCTCCGAGCGGACGCTCTACCACTAGACCACGAAGGCGGTCCCGCCGCGTTTAGATGATATTAGTGAGTGAGTATAGTTTTACGCCAATATTCCAGCAATATCATTACGGGGGACACTCAGAAATGGGCTTCACGCTTTGTGCCTCGTCGCGTGACGAGCGAACGCTTTGACCACTAGGCTACCCCACCTCTCTTAAGATGATGTAAATATGAAACAACATAAAATACAGAATATGGCATGTCGAATACTACAATACTGTCAGAAGTAGAACTAAATTGTCTAAAAACAATAATGTTAATAGCGACTTTAACCAACAGAATAACATAATCTTACCTTATGACTGAGACGTCTTTATTCCGGGACAGAGTAGACGATCTACCCCTGGACGTAATATGCACATACAGATATAGAGATGTTCTGATATGGAACTAGAGATGCGGCATTTTCTTGTGATGTAATTTCAAACTGTTATCGAAATCAAATCATGCATAAATTGAATATATACAAGATCACTGTCACCAACCACTTCCTATCAGGGATATCTAGACATGGGTGACAAGATCTACCCTTGGGCGTTTCACGGCCTTGCCATTGTGCCAAGGGCGCATTGTGTTTACAACTCACTGGGTCTGCTACAATTATATAACAACGCGTCTTAATTGTTAAGTTTTAGAATACAGGCAAACTGAACTGTAGACAGTATTAGAATTCTTGTATATACGCCAGCGTAGATTTTCCACTAAGGCAAAAGAAAATATACACCCGATTTAAATGGTGGCTAAAAACGACAAACAAGAAATGGTTGTTCATTGTGATGTAATGGATACGGGTATCATAGACGGTATTGCATGTATCCTATCAGTGAGTATCTCACAACACGTGACGTGCACGTGACGTCTCAAGGAGCATGGGGGTCACAATTTCACAGAACACCGTAAGGAGCAGAGTGAAGTTGGAATTTTCAAATGTTTATTTTCTTTTACCCGGCAGTTCAGGGTTCAACTCAGTGTCGCTACAAGTCTGGCGACGACCATATTCCAATGAATCACTAAATATACTTAAAACAAAACAAAACGTTAGATCGGCGAAAAAGCCGCGTTCTGTCAACTCGTTTGAACTTATGACAGTCCAAAGAAACATAGTAACATAGAACTGTAATTAAAAGCGACAAAACCCTTTCCATATTCATAAGAAATCTCTGCCAAAAGTCAAGTCAAATGAACGATTCCGACTATATCATGAGCATGTGTTTATAAATCACTATCAAATTGTGATGACACCAGGTGTTCGCGAAAGGATGAACTGCCACAAAGGTGGCACACGTCACAAACACATGCAAGGCAAGTCAATTGTTTCTGTGAAATAAAACACGGGAACAATTGGCACAAGTCAAAATATGGAATTGCATCGGATATCATTCTTGTCACTGATGCGTCAAATTTGGAGATGTCCTCAACATGTCTACCATAAAACTTTTTTAAATCTTTACTGAAGCCTTGAATGTTGTAACCTAGATCAAACAACTTTTCAGCAAGAGTTGTATGGCGCTCTTTGAAATCTTCATAGAAAGAGCATGTTCGATTGTACCATTAAGTGA